CCCGTGTAAACAGAACGCCCGTCCCTCCACCCTCCATCCTCGTCGTGTCTATCCTTCATCCCCATTAGGACCCGTCTGGTAAGGTCCCCAATGACAAAAAGTCACCAACAATTTTGCGGGGACACCCAGGCCCTCGAAAACTGCCTGGCCACCCCCAAAAAAAAGAAAAGCAAATTTTTGGAGAATCAGGCTCGTCTGGACCCACCAGAACGGACACCGGACCCGGACATCCAGACCCGGACTGCCCGGATCGGGATCCGGACGTCCGGTTGGCAACCATGCAGCATACTTGGAAAGTCCGGTAGATTTTGAAACTGGCAAAAATGCAGCTACATTGCTTCAAAGACTTCACTTGTCAATTCGTGTCTTCCAAAAGCTCTGTTGGATCCTTGTGCAAGCAATGGCTGGACTAACTCGGGGAGATTGAGGAAGCAGCAGGCGCCGCCATAGCTAGGGCTGCAGAGAAAGGATGCAACCGCTCTAGCCGATAGGGTAGAGGAAGTGAAAGTGGCATGTGCATTCCAAGAACAAGTGTGAGCGATCCAAGAGGAGAGAGGGAGCAATAGAAGAGAGGAGAGAGAGAGTCAGTGGGGGAGAGAGGGAGAGAGAGAGGGAAGTTGCCTGTTGGTGGGTGTAGGGTTGGAATTCGATTGACTCCAGATCTCGTTGTGCTCTTTGGAGTGTCATGATTGAAATTGGTGCAATTCATGGTTGTGACTGGAGTTGAAATGAAGCTGGTTCATTGCAAAATGGGCAAGAGAGCTAAAAAATCATTATCATCTATTTCTGTTGCAAAAGGGGATAAAATCAGCACTAAATAAACCAGACGAGATCTGGCTTATACAGATGCACGTGCAAAGAAGCGAGCCGTTATACAAAAAATTCTTCTATGAGCAACCATCCTTCAGTCCTCACCTTCTCTTTTCCGTGCCAAACATTGTGGCCGTACGATAGCGGAGTACGGTGAGGGCACACTTACATGTTCAGGAAAGTTTGAAGGCTGAATCTGATGGCCTCAATTGAACCTATTGTTCACTGTTCTCCTCTTCTATGTGGGGCGCGTAAGCACCGATCCTCTCGCGTACAGTCGTAACAAAGTATTTGCACCCAACAGGGTGCTATGGCTGGCCACAGAATGAGCTCGCCATAAGGCAAAAACAGGGAATAGGGAGAAAAGGCAGTCTCAACAATTACAAAACCTGCACTCACAAAATTGGAGCAGTGGCTTTCATTGGGGAAGGCATACGACTTATAGATCCTAGCTGCCGCTTCTTGAACGCCAATTTTCACACACATCGCATGTGATCATTGTACACGGTAGGAATCGAAGAGGGATGGGAGAGGGACACACCCAAGAACAAAGTAGCGACTCCGAGACAGACAAACTGTTGAGAATAGGCGATCACACTGCCGGGTTTGGACAGTCACACTGAGCACTCAAGAGGAACTGACATCAAGATTCAACACACGCCTACATGCACACGCTCAACCACTCATTCCACAACAAAACATGCTCATGCGAAAGGAAAGGCCAGCAAGTCAAGTCATGAACTTCTGTCAGTTGAGAAAAATGAAAGGATTCACGCTGCAGACACCCTGTCCCGGTCCCAAGGTCCCGACAAGCCCCAAATCCCAGTGTCGTCCCGTAGGGTAGGTCGTACGGTCTAGAGGCCGAAGCGTCGTAGGTCAGTAGGTGTTGGTACCGAAGCGTCATAGGTCGGTAGGAGTCCGTCCGGTACCCGACAAGCCCAGAAACATCCAGTCCAGACTGACAGTCCCAAGCCCACTTTTGCAGCATGTCCCAAGAAAGTCCGGAAGCTACCAGAACAACAAAATGTTCGCGGCAGGCAGGCCGCGGCCGACCGATACCGGTCTGAAGCAGGCCAAGCCAAGCCAAGCTCAGCAAAGCCAAGTCCTATATTTAGCTGCTTCAGTGCAGCGGCTCATCACTCGTTCAGTTGCGAGATGCTGAAGCGCTGCTGCTGCTTGTGCGTTAAACCACCACTGCCTTTCCAAGCTGTAGTCCCATTAGGGAAAACGACCTCAACCGCAAAGTTCGGGGTTCGGGGGCCCGGGCGAGGGTTGGCAAAAACAAAACACTTGAGCCTTGTGGGCCGTATCGGAGAAAAAAAAAGAAAAGAAAAAGAAACTGCAGGAAAAAAAAAAAAAGGAAGGACGTCGGGGAAAGCCGCGAAGGAGGTGTGCTCACAGTAGTGCCTCCAGGAATGCATCTGCCCAGAATCACCGATAGTTTCATTTTTTTGTTTTTTTTGTTTTTTTTGTTTTTTATTTTTTCCTTCTAAGTTAGTTTTAGTGCCCTGCCAACGAGGCAGGGCGCTTTCCACGGACAGCTGACACTTGCAACCAACAGGGCACTCTCACATGAACTCAAGATTCTGTATCCAGCTGCAATGACTTGCTGATTCTGACTGCCGAGATTGACTGCGAGGCTGTAAACTAACCAGTAGGTTAGTTTTGTAATGTTGTTTGGCTGAGGGCTAACCGAGGGACCTACCTGTAAGGAAAACCCCTCAGGGACATATCTGCAAATATGGGAAAATAGGCCCGGTAGTACTTCGGGTTTCCTACAGCAGCTACCCTAACTGCTGAGAGCAGGCCCGGGCTACCCCTAGGACAGACAGGCCCTAAGGGCCTAATCTGATAGACGGTCCTATAGCCTATAGCCGGGTCCGGTAGAGGCCGAGAGGCCGAAACAGCAGCGGTACCGGTCGGTCGGTCAGTCCGTTCTAGGTCTAGGCTAGGTAGAGTAGTCTATTAATAGTTTAGGGACTTCGGTCCAGGACTTTTGGCAGTTCATTTTCGCGATACAGCGTTCGGGAGCCAGGAGGTTTGCAGCAGCGATTGTCTGCAGGCGGTACCCTGAGACCCTCACCGTGGACAGCAGCCATAGCCAGCCTGCTGAGGGCTTGCCATAGCTGGGGCATCCCCTGCGCATCAACCCCTGTGGGTTTCTGCGAGTGGCTGGGCTGTGTGGAGACTCTACACTGAGTCTATGTGGGTGGCGGCAGCCATAGCTGCCGGATCTTTGTCAGAGTTGTTCAGCGGCACTAAAGACTTCATCACAGGAGCTGTTCTTCATCTGGGTGGTTGGCGCTGGCCTCTGGGAGGCCAGTCTGATGTGGCGCTACTAACTGGGTGTAGGGTAGTGAGTGGAGTGTGAGGTTTTGTGAGTGGAGTGTGAGGTTTTGTGAGTGGCGAGACACTGGAACAAACTCTGTAACGATTTCTAGTTAACTGGCTCATCATCAGTGTGTATTCCAATTGTTATCTTTGCAGGTTCTTTCTTGTGATTGGTTGTTGGGAGTATCGTCAGAGAGTGAGAAACACTGTGTGTCCTCTCCCCATCTGTGCATGTTTGTGCTTCTGCTATCTACTTTGATTTGTGTGCAGTTTGGACTCTGTCTCCTCTCCCTCTTCTCTTATGCATGTATGGGCGTGTATGAGATTGTTTGTGTGTGAGTGGCGATAAAAATCGTCAGACAACCAAGATCATAACAGTTGGTATCGGAACGAGATTGGAATTGGAGCACTGAGGGTTGAGCGCATTGAGGCATCTTCTTCATCTGGCGAGATACTGGCGAGAGCTTCATGGCGATTCATCTTCCCTAGTACCGAGTCAGCAGGGAAGAAGATATTCAGCGGTGGATTCAGGAGTTCAGTGCAATTACTGAGCAAGCACAATAAGCCTGTCAGGGTGCTTGTCAGGAAGTGGCGAGTGCAGGGCTAATTCGCCATAGCCAACCCTGAGGGTAGTATTGTGAATTACCCCAAAGTGGCGAATTACCCCTGAAGACTTCAGGGATTGTGGGGCGGCTTCATCCCTGGGTAGCGCTGAGGGAGATTGACAGTTTGTATCAATCTCCAAGAGAGTTAACCCCAGTTGGGGCTATTTTTAGCATCAGCGGTCACCAGGTACTGTGGCGAGATATTTTGTTGTTGGCTATCAGGGCGCCACATGACCGGAAACAGTGAATCTGGATTGGGGGATTGCAGCGCTTCAGGATCCTGAGGAGGATCAACAAGTTGGAGAAGGTTTTGTGCGTGGGATCGTCAGGGAGAATTTCTGGAAGAATTTGGCGAGATAAGGGTATACTCTGCCATAGCCAGATCTTCATCAAGTACTGCCAAATACTCAGAAAGTGAGTTCGTTCCATGCACCTACCTGTATTGCGATTCAGATAGGATTAGTTTATTCAGGAATTGTGGTCTATCTGTCTGTCAGTGACTGGATGTGAAAATCGCAGACTGCATGACAGCCATAACCATCTCTCTCCTACCTTCCTCTGCTCATTTCTAACCCTCTATTGACTCTTTCTCATCCAAAATTGTTCTAGGACTGCTATACTGCATTGCGATTGATCTGGGATACTCAAACTGTGAATTCTGCACTGGAAAGGTAGTGATACCCTAAATAGTAATTTTGCGTTGAATCTAATTATAGCCTGTGCTGATTAGGGTCCTGTCATAACTTCAATTCTGTCCGTCAGAATTCAATTCCGACAGTCCCCAGTGAATCGCAATCCAAAAATACTCAATAGTGCAAAATCGCAAGATTGGATTTGCAGTATTTCACTGAATACAGTGAATATTGTATTTCGTCCTACCCTAGGGTGTGGCTGCCAGAGTCATCAAGGTCTAAATCGGAGTCCGAGTTAGGATTCAGGGTCCTTGACCGAATCGCTCTGCTTATTTGATCTTTCCAGTTTGTACTTACCATATTCTATCATTCCCACTGACAACTCTTGTTTTCTAGTGGGCTCTGAAAATCTAGTGTGTCTGTGGAAGAGTATTGGATTGATTCTCCTAACTCTACTGTGGTGCAGGGTCAGTAAAAGGAAATCGTGTGAATGATTTCGCTGGACTTACAGTATGTCTGACACCTGACCCCAGAGAGACCTTCCAACCCCAAATCGATGATTGCCTATCCACCCACCTACTCTACTGCATGAGATATTGCAGCGATTCCAGGGTGTCTGAAGGAATCTGAATATCGCTGCATATTCGGGTTGCTGTATTTTATTTTTATTTTTTATTTTTGAAAGGTGAAAGATGTCTGATCAGGGAACTCAGCAGCAGCCACAGGTAGAAGTGGTAATGAAGGTGGAAGGCCAAAAGCCTTCGACCTCCACTGATCCTCCTCCACCTCTGACTGCTACTCAGCAAAGGAAGGAGGAATTGCAGGAGAAATTGTGGCGGGAGCAGGCCCTGCTTGCTGAATTGGAACGGCATGAGGCAGTTGAGCTAGAGGCTGCAACAGACACTTCCAGAAAGGAGTACCTGTTGGAGCAGCAAGAAAAGGTCCTCAGAGATGACCGTTGTGCTCAGGTGACTAAACACCTGGCAGAGTGGGCCATCCTAGAACACAACGCCACCAGTTCGTACTTCACGAACTGGGATGATCGTGTGGATCGTGTGGAGCGTCAAGTGGACGACCTGGCAGCTCAGCAGTCCATGATTCTGGACATGATTCAAAACCTGACTGCTCAGTTGACAGCTGCCCAGCTGATTGCCCCTCAGTCCCCTCTGCGGAAACCCAAACAACCTCCTTCCTCTCCACCTTCATCTCCCCCTGGTTCACGACAATCTTCCCCTTCACCATCTCATTCCCAAAAGACCCCAGGCAAAGCCACCTATGTTGCTGTTACTGTAGGGAATCAAAGAGGTCCCAAGATCCCTGCACCCAACAAGTTCAGGGGTGATGACCCCAAGACTGATGTTGGGGACTGGGCTGCTGGGACTAAAGCCTACTTGAGGGGCTTTATCTGCCCAGAACACACCAAGGTGGCTACGATTCTGGGGCTGCTGGAGGAACCCGCCTTAAAGTGGGCCACCTTAACCTCCAGCAGCCTGCAGCAATCGATGGAGGACTGGGCTTATGGGCTTGGGGTGGACAAACTTTTGCAAGCCCTGGAGGACCAATTTGCAAACAAGGAGCGGGCCCGCAAGGCTACTGACAAGATTGCTCGCCTAGGGCAGCAACGATACAACGGTACCCTGCAGGCCTTGTTTGCTGAGTTCGAGCAGCTTACCTCCACCCGTGGGTTGGTCAAGTCCACTGATGATCTGTTGACCAACTTCTGCAGGGCAGCGCCTGAGAAGTTTGTTGTTGCGTTGTACAGCACTGGGCACAAGGACTGGAGGTCCTTTGGTCGTGCAGCCCTGGACATGGAGGCGAAGCTTCATGTCCAGGCCCCCTCCTCTGACAAGAGGAGAGGTGCCTTCCCTCGAGGTGGTAGAAAGGCAAAGGCATCCTTCACGCATGCAAGGTCTGCATCAGATTCTGATTCAGACTCCCAGGCTGATACACCTTCAGTTGGGACTAGATCCGCTGCTGATACAAATGTTGCAGCGGCCCTGACTCAAGCTGTTTTGGGAGTTATGCAGCAGCAGAAGAGGTTCTCCCCCACCACAAGCTCAACCAGTGCAAAGGGGAACGAAAAGGGACGTCGGCCTTCCTCTTCCCAGCGCCCTAACCTGCCCAAAGATGTCCGGATGCCAGCTGACCCACTCAATCCCTCCACACTCCCCTTGCATGACCTCAAGATCCAGGAAGGGGTCTAGAGAAGAAGAAAGGAAAGAGGGGTTTGCCTGAGGTGTGAGGGTCAGTACTTTTTAAAGGACTGCCCTTACATGCCAGGCTCAGGACAGTCAAAAAACTGAAACAGACCCTGGGGACTGCAGTTCCCCCCAGTGTTGCACCTCCTTCTGCTCAGGTAGGTGAATCTGCAGCTGTTTCAGTTGAGACTGCACATTGTTGTTTGGGGACTGCGCGGGCAGCATCCTTCTGTTATGAGGATCCTGCAGGGATCAAGACCCGGGGCAGGATGAGCTTCAGTCACTTGCAGCCTTCTTCCTTCACCTGAAGGAACAAAAGAAGTGCAAGTCTGATAGCATCCTACTTCGGCCCCTGATCAACCACATCAGGATCAAAGGGTTGTTGGATTGTGGAGCCACCAGGAACTTTATATCACCCAATGCTGTTAAAAAACTGCATCTGGGGATGAAAGTTCAGCAGCTGCAGCAACCTTTGCTGGTCAGGATAGGTGATTCCACAGTACTTACCATCAGGGAGAAGGTCAGGGGTATCACTGTGACCTTCGACAGTGCTGGAGAAGTCAGACGTAGTCTGAACTTCTACATATTCCCTGATCTACCCTTTGACCTGGTGTTCTCTATGCAGTGGTTGAGGGCAGTCAACCCTAGGATCGACTGGCAGATTCCTAGAGTTGAACTACCAAACAGCCAGGGGGTGTATCAGCCATGCATGATAGCTGCTGATCATCACCCTAAGACCTCCTGCTACTGCTTACGAGCGAGGGAGTTCCATGCTCTCTCACGCCAGTACCACCATGAGCGTCTGTTTATTGCTCTGGTCAAGCAAACAGATGCTCCCCCACTTTCCTGTCCTCCTGAGGTACAGCAGGTTGTTGATCAGTATGCTGATCTGATGCACGAGCCCTTTGGACTACCCAACCGACCAACCAAGCGTCACATTGAGCTGCTGCCTGGAGCCGTTCCCCCTAAGGGACGAGTCTATAGGATGTCCCCTGCTGAGCTCGAGGAGCTCAGAAAGCAGCTTGAGACCCTTACCAACAAGGGCTGGATCAGGCCCAACATTTCTGAATTCGGTGCACCTGTTCTCTTTGTACCCAAAGGGAATGGTGAGTTCAGAATGTGTATTGACTACAGGGGTCTCAACAAGATCACTAGGAAGAGTATAGAGTCACTTCCTATGATCGATGACCTTTTGAATATGGTGAAGGGCTGCACAGTATTCAGCAAAGTCGATCTCAAATCTGGCTACCACCAGATTGAGATGGCAGAGGAGGATGTCTACAAGACAACCTTCAAGACCAAGTATGGGACTTATGAGTTCCTGCTCATGCCATTTGGACTTTGCAATGCCCCTGGGACCTTCCAGACAGAGATGCATCGCATCTTCAGGCCTTACCTGGACAAGTTTATGGTTGTCTACCTGGATAATATCCTGGTGTTCAGCAAAACTGCCAGGTAGCATGCGGAGCATTTGGCTTTGGCCCTTCAGTCATTACGCGACAGCCAGTACAAGATCAACAGAGAAGTCCTCTTTTGGAGTTCCCTCTGTCATCTACCTGGGTCACATAATCTCTGGAGACGGCCTGGCTCCTGAAGCAGCCAAGATAGCTGCTATTCAGGAGTGGCCTCAGCCACATACAGTGAGGGATGCCAGGTCCTTCATGGGTTTGGCCTCATACTACAGAAAGTTCGTCAGGAACTTTTCTGCAGTGGCTGCACCCCTGACCAACCTAACAAAGAAAGACAATCCTTTTCTTTGGTCCCTTCACTGTCAGCTGGCCTTTACACGACTCAAGAAAGCCTTGACTCGTGCACCAGTGCTGAAGTTGCCTGACCCCACTCTGCCATTCATCCTGACTAAGAAGATCAAGACTCAAAAGCTCCAGGACTCCACCTACGAGAAAGAGCTGTATGCTCTTATCTGTGCCCTGAAACACTGGAAGCACTTTCTCATGGGAAGGCACTTTAAGATCTTTTCAGATCACTCCACCCTTCAGTGGATGAAGTCCCAGGGAGAGTTAAATGATAAGTTGGCACGGTACATTCAGTTCATAGACATGTTTGACTTTGAACTGAAACATAAGAAGGGCTGCTACAACAAGGTAGCAAATGCCTTCTCTTGTAGGCCTGACTCTTTTGCAGTGATCTCCTCTACTCACTCCTTTGGGGAGGAGACCCGTTAGACCATCACTCGTCTACTGCCTCAGGACCCAACTCTCGGACCCATAGTCTGGAATCTGCAAGCAGATCCTAACTCTGAACCAGGCTATGCTCTGAGTTCAGATCTGCTGTACACTTACAGGAGAGGTGAGAAGCGCTAATGCATTCCACAGGACCAGCGGCTCAGGACACTGCTGATGTCAGAGTGTCATGACGCCCGCGGACATTTTGGGTTCCTAAAGTCATATGCAGCCCTGTCACAGCGCTTCTTCTGAAAGGAGATGCGGAGTGATATTTTGCGCTATGTGGAAACCTGCGAGCTCTGCCAAAGGAGTAAGGTCCAACGTAGGCCTCCTTTGGGACTGCTCAAACCCTTACATATACCTGATGGCCCTGCTCAAGTTGTGTCGATAGACTTCATAGATTTAGGCAAGACCACCCCTCGTGGCATGCGTCAGGTTATGGTCTGCGTGGACAGGTTCTCCAAATACGCAGAGTTCATCCCCTTGCCAGAAGTGGCCAGAGTCCCGGTTGTGAGAGCAGCCTTTTCAGAGAGGTGGGTCACACACCATGGACCGCCCACTTCTATAGCCAGTGATAGAGATCCCCGATTTTGCAGCGATGAGTAGCAATCCTACTGTAAGGACTACTTACACTCACGACTGGACATGACTTTTGGTCATCATCCTGAAGCCAATGGTCTAGCTGAAGTGATGAACAAAGTCTTATTCCAGCTGCTGCGTCCTGTCATCTCTCCAGATCAGCAGGACTGGGATCTTCACTTAGCTTGAGCACAGCTTATGTACAACATGTCTGTCCACTCCTCGACTGGGTCCAGTCCATACCGGTTGCACAGGGGACGTGAACCACGACAGCCTCTTGATGACATCATCAGCCCGTACGTACGGAGGCCCCCGGGCCAACCTCCGTACGTTCGGGCGTTCGGGGTCCCGTTCGGGGGTCGAACCCCTCCGAACTTGAAGAGGTTCGGACCCCGCAAAAAAATATTTCAGGGCCTAAAAATTTTATTTTTTTTTTGCGAGTTCTCTATGATGTGAGGTACATGCCTCTAAATTTCGAGATCATTTTGCTTGGCCAAAAAAAAAGAAAAATCGCCAAAGATAGCGGTGTCAAAACGTGCTCATCCACTCACTATCTTGTTTTTTTTTCTCTTTTCTCTTTTTGTTTTCACTTTGTTTCGGGGCCTAAACAATTTTATTATATATTTTGTTTTTTTTAACGAGTTGTGTATCATGTGAGATACACATATATGAATTTTCAGGGAATTTGACTAAGTCAAAACAAAATGAAAAATCTCCAAAGATGGAGGTGTTTAAAACCTGCCCGCCCACACACTGATTTTAATTCTCTCCTCAAATTAGTTATTTGAACTTATTTCTATTAATTTTTTTTGTTTTCCGTATTTTATTTTTATTTCAAATTTGGTAACGAATTTGGACGTCACTCGGAGGCAAATGTTGTTCAGTTTATCTTTCTGCATAACATATATTTTTTTTCAGAGTTTTTGGACGACTTTGTTTTTTTTTTTTTTTTTTTTTTTTGGTCCGCGCTCGACCCGAACCGCCGAATGTGTCTCCAGGGGGGCCCAGACGTTCGGGCGTTCGGGTTCAGGCGTTCGGCCCGTCCCGAATGCCGGCAACCTTGTATATATATATATAGTCACATAACTATGAAGTAGTATGAACTAACAAAGCGCACTTTGCAAAACAAACGGTAAAGATTTAAAAACAAGACAAAGATGAGGGGCACACCGAAACCATTCATTTTTGTCGTTCTCCTTTGAACTCTCCCTTCATTGTGCCTCTCACGTACAAGACTTGCCACGTTGATGAAATTGAGTGCGAGCTGCCCGCATCCTCATGTGCCATAATGGCCCACTTGTACGCTGTGAGAAAAAGGCAGAGTGTAGCATATCAGAAAGTGAAATGCACTGAAGCCTAGGATCTAGCAATGACGAAACTGGCAACAACCAGCAGCATCGGTGCAACATTCACAAGGTGTCAATGTGCGCGACGCAAAGAGTGAAACAACGGGAAATCAATAACAACACATTCGTATCATCATCATCATAGGCTGGGAAG